CTGGTTTCAGTGGGGCTCAGGGAAGGGGCAGGAGAACAGGGAGATGCCCCCCGCTGGTGCCTCAGCAGCATGTTAGCAGCATCTTCCTTTTCCCTTGGAGAGAGGCCCCCGCGCCGCGCCGGTGGCCAGCACCCTGCTCCTGTTCCCCATGCTCTGGGCACACTTAGCCGCGTGCTGTCCCTGGGGTTCCCTGGCAATGACAGCTCCTGGGGAGCCTTCGTCAATCGCAGCGCCCAGGTGGAGCTCGCAGCAAGCGAAGCGTCTGGTTCCTTTCCGCTGCCCTGACAGAGCCCTTGGGCATAGGCAGCAGTAGCTCCTGAGCAGGGGGTGCTGCCCCCCGGCTCTGCTCCGGAGCCAGGGGCTGGTTCGCAGGAGCGATTTCACGGGCAGAGCCAGATGGATTTGGCCAGTGCCTCCCTGGTGGGAGTCTGGGGCCGGCTCAGCACGAGGCGCCGCTAGCCCCTCGGCCCCAGGGGAGTTAGTCCAACAGGAACTGGCCACCGTCTGGCCCGGGAGGCTCTCAGCACGCACTAGCCCTGCTGGGCGTGGGATAGACCTCTCCTAGCAGGGCTTGGGCAGCGTGCAGTAGTGTGACTCCAGGCGTGAGGGGAGGTCAGCAGGTTGAAGAGTGGGGCTGCCATGGGGTGTGTCGCCAGCAGCCTGGCGTCTGGGACCTGGGGCCTGTGTCTGGAGCACAGGCCTGCCGGCTGGCTGGCTCCCTGCTTCCCACCTCTGCAATTCCCTTGGGTCTCCCCCTCCAAGGCTCCTGGGGTGTCCGTGGGCACAGTCCAGCCCCTCCCTCCCGGTGTTTATCAGGGCTGCTGTCACCACCGTCCTGCGCGGTGTGTGGGGTGTGCGCGCCTCCGCTGTGCTTTGGCTCTGGGGGCTGGCGAGGACCCTGTCCAGCACAGGGAACCGAACCTCCAGCTGAGCCCCTCCGGTTCGCCTGTTCCCCACTCTGCGTTGTTCCCGTCGCTGCTGTCACACCTCGCCGAGCTCGTGTGACTGTTGAGCGCTAATAGACTGGGGGAGGGGGAATGACACGTTCTCCATTTCCCTGGAAATGGCCTTTCCGCTGGGGGCAGGAGCAGGTAGGCGCCTGGTTTCCCTGCCCTTTGGCACAATGTATTCAGCTCCAAACCCCTGCTGGAGGCGTGGGTCGGAGAGCTGCGCTGTGGAGTCCCGTGGCGCCCCAGCCTCTCCCTGCCCGGCTCAGCCTCGCTAGGCAGTGGCCAGGAGACAGCGAGAGGCACGCATCCCCCTGGACCAGCCACGCAGCACCACCGCCCGGGGCCTGGGGGAGCACTTGGAAGTCACCCTCCCCCCACAGCCGCTAGGTGATTCTGTGGCCTGGGCGTCCACGTGGACTCCTCTTTGTACCCCGACAGCCCCAGATGCAAAATCCAGCCTGCCCTCGCTGCAGCCGACAGGGAGACTGCCTGCTCCTCCTGTGGGT